ATTTGCAGTCACCAAAGTATTGTATTTTAAGGGAAAACATTATGCATATATGTTCAGTATCAACATTAACATAATATACCTGCTGATACAGCAAGGTGACTGCAGTGGGTTTTTCTAACAGGGCATGCAGGCTTCACAGAGTTCATAAAAGCATGTAAACAAACAGATTAGACTTACTTTTTCTGTAGAATACCATAGAAAAATATTTTAAAGGGGTTTAAAAGTAAAGGCAGATCGAGAATCCAACCTATGTAATAATTTAATGCCATGTAATGAACATCAAGTGGCTTACAAAGATAACCTCCCAGTCATAAATATGCCGCCTTTTAAATTGCTGACTGACTCATGTTCTTCTAAAGCAAATGTTTATATTTACAAACAGTAATCTGCTGATTAAGCGTAATTTGACTTATATTATTCACACAAGAAAACATGATTCTGTTAACCTGTGTAGAGAAAGACTTCTGTAACTACCAGGATTGACGTGACAAAAAAGGGAAGGGTGTACAGCTATTTGATCATATTTCAGGAAGGAATTGTTCCCGTTTCTTCATATTGCTCTCTGAGTTGTGGTGCCTCTTTTTTTTTTCACTTTACATGATTTTTACAGAAAGATGTTATTAATATTGTAAAAAGACATAGATTTCATTGTACACCTGAAAAATCTACATCACTGTATATCATTATTATATTATTTATATTGTTATTTATATGAATTTGTAAGATAGACAAATCTAAATAAGTAGTCTGGAGTTTATTGACCTTCTTTTATAATCCTTTATGCACTGTTGCTGTTTGTTAAATGGATTTCACTGCCTAAAGATGTATTTCTCCTAAATATGCACCAGTATATCTGCCCAACATCACTATTGACCAGCATCAGCCCTGTATGTGTATTAAAAATATAACAGAATTTATTTTTACTGTGCTTGATGAGGTTTTTACATGTTTTTTAATTGTTTATTTAACATCATTTTTTAAGTGTTACTTTTGAAGCAAATTTTGTACTTTGAGGTGAGTTGTTGATGCCAGAGGTTAAAGGAGAAGCTCAAGATAACCTGCCGAAGTTTACAATGAGTATCAGAATAGAAAGAAAAGATGATTTGAGTGATTTTAAATATGGCATGGTTGTTGGTACTAGTCGGAGTGGTCTTGAGTATTTCAGAACATTGTGTGCTTTACTGTAATTTCACTGCACCCCCCAAAATCTTTGGTTTACAGGGAATGAGCTGATCTGGAGCTATTTGTTCTCCAAAAAAGAGAAAATATTCAGTGACCACCTTTTTTTCTGTGTTATAATTTCCTTGTTGATGCTTAAGATCAGATGAGAATGTTTGGCCTTCTTCAAGATGACAGAAATGCAACAATAAATCAAATAACCACTCATTGCCACCAAGGTATGCAGAAGAGCATCTCTGAAAAGACAGTAAGTCAAACCCTGAAGCAGATGGGCTACAGAAGCAGAAGACCACACTGGGTGCTATTGCTGTCGGCTAACAACAGGAAACTGAAACTGGACAACGGAAGACTGGAAGTATGTTGCCTGGTGTGATGGGTCTTGTTTTCTGCTGTGACAGTCCAGTGATAGGGTCAGAATTTTGAATAAACACAAAAGCATGGATCCATTCTGCCTTTTATCAACAGTGTGGGTGTGTAATGGTTTGGGAATATTTTGTTGTACTTACTGAGCATTGTTTAAACTTTGATTTCCACAGCTTACTTGAGTATTGTTGCTGATTTCCTGTTCCCACAGTGTACACATCTTCACCTTTAGCATGTGCTGGAATGGGAGAATCACATCATGGATGTGCAGCTGACAACACTGCAGCAAATCTCTGAGGAATGTGTCCAGCTCTTTGTTGAATCTATTGGCGTATTGGCTTCCCTTCATTGGCTTCCTGTTAAATCCAGAATTGAATTCAAAATCCTGCTCCTCACATACAAGGTCTTAAATAATCAGGCCCCATCTTATCTTAATGACCTTGTAGTACCATATCACCCTATTAGAGCACTTCGCTCTCGCACTGCAGGCCTACTTGTTGTTCCTAGAGTATTTAAAAGTAGAATGGGAGGCAGAGCCTTCAGTTTTCAGGCCCCTCTTCTGTGGAACCAGCTTCCAGTTTGGATTCGGGAGACAGACACTATCTCTACTTTTAAGATTAGGCTTAAAACTTTCCTTTTTGCTAAAGCATATAGTTAGGGCTGGACCAGGTGACCCTGAATCCTCCCTTAGTTATGCTGCAATAGACGTAGGCTGCCGGGGGATTCCCATGATGCATTGAGTTTTTCCTTTCCAGTCACCTTTCTCACTCACTATGTGTTAATAGACATCTGTTATTAACCTCTGTCTCTCTTCCACAGCATGTCTTTATCCTGTCTTCCTTCTCTCACCCCAACCGTGTCAGCAGCAGATGGCCCCGCCCCTCCCTGAGCCTGGTTCTGCTCGGAGGTTTCTTCCTGTTAAAAGGGAGTTTTTCCTTCCCACTGTCACCAAAGTGCTTGCTCATAGGGGGTCATATGATTGTTGGGTTTTTCTCTGTATGTATTATTGTAAATGGCCTGTATTTGTATAGCGCTTTACTAGTCCCTAAGGACCCCAAAGCACTTTACACATCCAGTCATCCACCTATTCACACACACATTCACACACTGGTGATGGCAAGCTACATTATTGTAGGGTCTACCTTACAATACAAAGCGCCTTGAGGCGACTGTTGTTGTGATTTGGCGCTGTATAAATGAAATTGAATTGAATTGAATTGAATTGAATTGAATTGAATTGAATCTATGCTACAAAGGTATCAAGTACTAGATTTTTTCTAAACATGAAGTATATTTTCAAAAAAAGAATTAGGAGAATCAAGATTTTTTAAAGTGTTGTTTCCCACATGTTAAACGTCAGTAGAGTGCCCACTTTAACATTTTCTCATAATGGAAAGTCTTTAGTTTGGTTTACATGAGGATGCTGCCTGTGTAGAATAAACAGGAGTCAGGAAGCATGATGTACACTGACTCATAGTTAATTATTGCACAATTGCCTACTCTGTTTTTACAAGGGTGCAAATGGACATCATACTGATTTTGCAATGAGGATCCGGCAGGGTAAAGACTCCACACACGGATACACACCATGTCGAAACAGAAATTAGCCTGTTTTCTCTAAATAAATCAGAATCTACAACCTGAAATCGAAAGACCTGCTGGAGCAGCAGATAGGTTTTAGTTTCAGCTCAACAGCTGTAAGGCTGATTTAGTCTTTGCTGTGGCTTTCAAAACAGGAAATTCAGTTTTTCACCTCACTATTTCAAAGTAGCTGACACATAGCTACGTCAAAGGATGTTGTGGTTTTTTTAATCCTGCCGCAAGAACATAAAAAGTCAGTAGAGATCAATGAAATAGCTGAATTTATGATTTTATTGTTTGTCTTTGCTATTGCTGACACCTACTCCATACAGCACAGATGCTATAAAACAAAGAAGGACATGCAAATACTTTCACAGCGCTTTGTAATCATATAAAGGAGCTAAAGCTGATGGAGATGGGCAGTTTGATCCTGTAGTTTTAAGATCAGTTCTGCATCTAAAAACCTGATATAATCAGCTCACAAGGACAGACTCTTAAGGTTGTTACTTAATGGGTGGGTCATACCAATCATACCTTCAGGGACCAAAAAAGAGGGAAACTGTCTCCTCTAGCATACAAGGAGGCCTCATTGTAATTTAAATAAATGACTGAGGGCCATGGTGTTTTCCCCCTCTTCTGCTTATCCTCTTCACACTAAGCCAAAACACCAATTACACCTGCTGACCTCTTTTTCATGGAAAGGTTTGACAAAAATTCTCTCAGGTTAGAGGCCCAGGAAACTCCCAGTAACATTAGAAGTGTTATGTAATGCAGCCCTTCCTCCTGGATCAGCAACGTTGTGCTGCACAGGAGAAAGAGGGCCTATAAACACTGTGTTTGCACATGTAAGGGTATTTAACAAACAAGGACAGGAAAGTTGACCAGATATCTTTAAAAAGTACCCTAACCTTTGCTCATACATACTACACCAAGATAACCGTAACTGAATAAACCATGATTCGACTAAAGAAAAACTAGAAGAGAAAAACAAGCTGATGAGTTGAAGTAAGATGATAAAGTGATTCAAAAGATGACACGTCTTCTAAAAATGATCTGTCTTAGTAATCGTCTATAGAATTCTGAACTTTGTGTGTCTATAACAGTTATTTTCAGTGCTGATTACAGGTCTTATAGTCTGATCCATCTCAGCTTTTCTTTTTCATCTTCAGGTAGAGTAACATCAACAACCAAATTATACTATGAGAAAGTAATTTCCAAAGCGAGAAAATACACTGGTCACAAAAACTACACTGTGAAAGGTAAACATTTTTCATTGATTTTGTTCAGATTTATAGTCTGAGTTTAAGTTTTAAGCAATCCAAGGTTTTACAGACATGATATAAAGCCAAGAAGTTGCCATAAATTGCCTCAACTATTTGTTAAATTTCAGCAGGCGACCATATGCTGCATGGCTGAGAGCGGCTGGCCCGGGTTCGAGTCCGACCTGCGGGCCTCTGCTGCCTGTCTTCCCCTCTCTTTCCCGTATCCATCTAAAAAAGCTGAAAAAAGGCCAAAAAAATTTTTTTTTTTTTTTAAAAAGCACAAGTTTATGCTTCTTCAATCTTACATCTTGCCTTCTTTTCTTCTTGATTATGTGTAAACCTAATGGAGGAAAACCTGTGTAAAGTTTCATGTAGAAATCATAAAAGCTAGGTATGGAAGAGTTAGATTTCTCATGTTGACTCCCATCAGCTCTTCAAATGTGACTCATGCCTCATCTGCAAAAAGTCTATTAAACTAGTATATAGATAACGTGATGAAAGACTGAAAGTTTAATTTGGTCCCCAGCACAGCGGGTGGAGAATAAGACAAAATGTGAGTATTAGCATCCTGCAAAAAATAGAAATTTCATAAAATGGCACAATACAGAGACAAGATGCGATGCAAAAAGTTTTTTAATGCGGCAATTACACTACAAGGAGAGCAGTCAAAAATAATAAGAAGACGTTTTTTTTTTTTTTAAACAAGCATACATACGACTCCAAAGCAGAACAGATAAATAATTTATATTTAAATGATCGGTTCCATTTCCCCCTTAAAATGTTATTATTACAGAAATAATGGATTCACCTACCAGTGAACTATTAAATCATATGCAAAATTAGGTCATGCTAATATAAACTATTTAGAACTCCATCTATCACAGATGGATACAGACCGGCTGTAATAAAAGGAGACTGAATATTATCCTGTTCAGATGTTCTGTTAATGAGAAATAGGGTGCTTCTGTATTTTATTAGGCTACACATTAACTCTTACATGTGTATATACATTATGGAAATACATCTGTATTATTGGGTAGAGGGATTGATTCAGACACTGATAAGCTGGGGGAATAGTTCATTAGCAAACATGTCATCCCAGGCACTCTCTGCACACAGGGGGGACGACATGTCGCTGAAAGGGGAAGGGGAACCTTCATATCCGGAGTCGCTGTAGGTGTCCGCCAGACAGGCTTCTTTCTCCAGACTGTTGAGGGCAGGAGAGGAGGGTCCAGAGAAAAGCTCAACTGCCTGACTCTGACTATTACATGCAGGGATGACCACTTCCTGTGGTTCATCTTTGACGCAGATGGTCTCCTCCTCCACCATGACCTCAGTAACGGGGAAGGCTACCTCGTCATTCTTCTCATTTGTGCCGCTCTCCAAGTCGGTGTGCTGCCCACTACTCACTTCCTCCACGGGCTTTGTATAGATGTGGTCAAAGTGAATCAGTTCATTAAGGGTCTCCAGCTTAACTGATGTGGGCCCCATAGTTGGAGATGGGGTGGTAGGTACTGGCTCACCCCCTCCGAGCAACAGGACCTGCGGCTCCTGGCAGTCTGGTTCACAAGACTTGAGAAATAACTCTGGGTCAAGGATGTCCAGAATGCCCAGCAGCAAATCAGACTAGGGAGAGAAAGAAAGGGGGTATAAGTATTCGTTCTGAATTGTTGTGGAGCTTTGGTGGAAATCTTAAGACCCACACTTTAGCAGGGACTCACCTCATTGTCTGAAGAGTCAGGACTATCTGTATCCATTGGGAAGTCTTCAGATTTAGGGACTGCTGGGCCTGCACCTGCTGCGGAGGCACACATAGCCTGAGTGCTGCGGACTCAGAAGACCCGATCCCCAAATCTGCATCGTTCCCGGTGGACAACATAACCTGAACCTTTGAGGGAAAAAAAGATTTAAAAAGAATTAATACACTTTTCCAATCCCTGCAATCCAGTCCACACCACTTCCCCTCTCAGCTCTCCATTCTTTTTTTACCTTCTCTTTTGAGTCAAGAGTGTCCAATCCAAGTCTTTGTCTCAGTTCCTCATTTTCTGTGAGCAGGCCATTTGTTTTTTCCCGGAGTAGCCTGTTTTCAATGTGAAGTTTCTGATTCTGCAGGAGGAAACAGATGTCTGTGAATGAAACCTGCAACAGTTTCAGGAACTAAAGTGTGAAGTATCACATGAAATGGCACAAACGGTAAAAAAAAAAAAATTGCTTTGCATTTCTTCATACTAAGACATGCAATTACAAATTAATGCTATGGCTATAATGTGTAACAGTGTATACCTCCAGCTCCAACTCTAGGACTTGTTGCTCCAGCTCCCCCATTTTTGCCTTTTTTCTGTCTCTGGCTGTCTGAGCTGCCACTCTGTTCTTGAGTTTCCTGGAAAAAAAAAGGAAGGAGTGGGGGGAAAATTAGTTTCCACGATGCTGACTAAGCCCTCTGACATGACTTTGAGTTCACAGTACTGCGCAATCACCGGCCATGTTCCTGCCACGCAGGCAAAGCATGATATCAATGTCCTGCTCTGTAACAGCAGAGCCGGGCGGGTCCACCAACATTTAAATCCCTCACATACTTTTGACCAGCTAGCTTAAAGTGCAGCGCAGATACGATAACGTTTATGATATTTAACAGCTTCACATGACAGTTGTTATAGTGCGGAGATAACCTATTTACACCGCTATAGTCACACAGCATTTGAGCTTGCATTTATATTTTCTTGGCATTTGAACTAAACCGTAAACATAGCACCTATTGTCTTGCTAGGGGATCGATATCTTTGGGTGTGTCTCTGTATTAATTTCTTGAACAATGGCCCCATTTACGCTTTAGAAATAAGTAATTACACACAGATATAATTATAGATAAGGGTTTATTTTTGAACAAACCTGCGAAGCGCTTTCTCTTCAGGACTCAAATGTGTGAGTCTCTGTCTTTTTCGCACCGGCGGCCCTGCAGAAGTGTTGGAGTCTGAATCCGACGACACTTGGCTGGCCGTTGACGGTAAAACGACAGAGATGGGCCGGCTGAGGGCCGTCTGTGAGCCGGATTGCTTCCCTGATATGAGAAGGACTTTGTGGGCTCCTCCAGCCCCAGCTGTTACAACCACCATGTTGATGTATCCTGTTGTGTTGCTGTCTGAACTCAGAAATTACCGGGTGTCCGTATTAAAGTCAGTAGAAACCTTTAGGTTTCCCTGTTGACCCGATCCCCGACAATTCTCAAATGCCTAAAGAAAATGGGCTGTGTCTGCGATCTTTTCTACCATCGTGGTGAAACCCGATAGGCTTTCAGCTGCTCTGACGCAATCAGCTTGAAGCTTGTGATTGGTGGCAATGCTGATGTAAGTTTGCACATAAAGTGTTTCACTCTGTTTGTAAAGTAAAATCGAGTTCCCTGTAATTTCCAGTCAAGCCTTATTGTCACATAAAGTCTAAATTTTCCAGTCCGTTATTTTTGCCTGCTTGCATGGGACTTTTTATCAAGTCCACATTAATATATTTATTAACTAGCCTCACTCGTGGATCTCCAAGGCTTATTTTGGCATAGATGGACCCAGCCTTTTTTCCATTGTGTGTGCAGCATTTACAAGCTTTCTGTTCAGCAAAGTCTAAAAGTTACCAGCTACTATATTGGTCTGAAAGGCAAAATGCCTTTATGCTAACTTCACCTTTTTTTTTTTTTTTTTTACCTCAATTCGTTTCTTTTTTTTTTAATTAAACATTTATTTTACCTTCCAGCTATCTGGGTAAATTGTGCTGGATAGAAAAGTTTCCTCATTCTTTTCTTTTCTAAAGGATTCTAATGAAGCAACAGGCTTTACAAGGCCTTCCCTGAAATACATTTCCTTTTTCCTGGACTGGTGGACTGATTAGCTTATTATTTTGTCTGTGAAATAGTTCCTGTCAACAGACATTTGTATATCTTTTCGAAATTAATTTAAACAGTATTTTTTTAGCTATATTTTATTACCTGCATGTGATGTCTTGCAGAATTTAAAACTGAATTAGTCAGGCAACATAAATCTTGATCCAGTGCCAAAAAGCCAACGCTTTTTGAAAACAAAACAAAACAAGAGGTGTTAACGGATGAGGCAGCAGTGAAAGATAATAATTTATAGGACCAGGCGTAGCTTATAACCTGGTAGACTTTGTCTACCTGCGTTCAACCACAGTAAAATTTCTGAGATGGCTTAGTGCCAACAAATACTCATGCACGGTTTCAAATGAAGCTGCCACCCAAAAGTAAACAGGCCACAGTCAGAAAGAGAAAAGACATCAATCGACTTCATAAGTACGCACTCTTCCTCAAACTTCTATTTGTCCTCAAACAGGAATTCACATTTTTGCAGTAACTGGCCACCATTATTGTTTACAGCTTGTAGCCCTTTGCCCCTACAGTTTGTCACCTCAGCAGGAGTAACTGCAACAGCTAGAGCAAACAGTGGCCTGTTTGCGAAGCTTTACAGGCGCTACAGAATCAGCATGTGAGAAAGTGAGAGCCTCGGTTTATGATCAATTGAAGAAAGGAAACAGGATTTAAAAACAGGATGTGCTGTATTTCCAGATATAAACATAATAGGTCAAAGCAAACAGGAAAAAATGTGTGAGCGTTCCTCTAAATTCCCCAAATGTAAGTTTCTTTATGTCAAGAAAGTAGGCAGCAATACAGCAGTTCATATTATACACTAGCCTTTAGCTCTAGAATGAAACTGTTATTTCTGACTTGGGGATGTCCCATCACACTTATATACAAGTGTCGCATTGGCCATCAGTGAAACGACCTTCTATATTTGCAGCATGTAGCTGTCAAGTTAATGCTGGAGGGGAAGGGAGGTTTAATAACTGCTAAGGGAGTTTCCTTACTGTGTGTCGTACTTTACTCTCACTACATTCTGTTCTCGGTGGATATCTGTCATCAGTAAGTGTAAGAAAATGTCCAGCGTGTCAGTTAACATTCAAATGCCACTTGGAATTGTTCTGCTGAGCATTTTAAATGCAAATGATGCCTTCAGTCTGCAGTATTTCCCTGCATTTCACAGTAGAATGTCCCAGTGAATCCCACCACAGATTTAGACTATACAACAGAGTGTGGTAAGCACCTCATGAAAATCCTCTTAATACATGATTTGCTTACATGGGTGTAACAACACAATGCAAGCACAAACAATTAAGACTCAACAAACACAATTTGAGACGAGGAGATTAAAGAGTCTTAAAATGTGAAGGTCACTGCTGACCAAGTGGATAAAAAGAATGTAAAGTGTACTTCGAGAATGCAGGAAAAGGGGTCTTGAAGAGCATCTTGAATTCTTATGTCATTAAAAAACAACTGCTTTGGTGAAATCTCCCTGTTTTCTTTTTTATTAGGCCACTGGAATAGCTCTGTACATTGTTTAAAATGGGGAAACTAGGCAGGGTTTGTCTAGCTTGTCAAGTTACATCACAAAGCCTGAGGAGAGCATCCTGACGGGAAACATCTTAACCTGGTTCGGGAACAGCACCATGCAGGACAGACGAGCTCTACAGAGGGTTGTGCGATCAGCCGAGCGCACCATCCGCTCCGAGCTCCCTGACCTGCACTCAATCTACAGCAGGCGGTGCTGGACCAAGGCCAGGAAGATCGTGAAGGACCTCAGCCATCCCTGTAAAGTTTCAAGAAGGAGTTATGAGCCAAACAAAAGCGCTCTCTGATATGAATAAAAGCGTGATTGTTTGCACCTGGCTTTAATGCATCGCCACATGAGATTCACTGTTAGAGTAACAATAGTAGGCTCTATACATCAGCACACCATCACAAGGAGTCTGCATTTACATTGTACTAGCATAAGAAGGCAGCACTGCTATCAGCAAGGCTATAACATCTGACAAACACATTCTTCCTCTTACAAATAGGAAGTAAATATCCTAAGCAATAAAAGACACCCTCCCTCAGTGCAGTTCATTCACGAGTTTTGGTTCCGCAACTGTCTTATGTCTGTTGTATTGCTCACTAAACAAGCCTTGCATAAATAATGCTTTATTAGACACAATTGACCCCACTGTACGTGTGCTGCACTTGCTTTGGGTGTGATTTACTATTAACCCTTCAAGTGCCGATGCCAAACTTGTCAATGCTTAGAAATGGTAGTATTTTCTGATATTTTTTTTATTCTTGTTCACCGATGGTGGAAATATGTCATCTGTTTTTTTTAAAACAGTGTTAACAACATATTTAATGTTAGTTTATATACTGTGTTTATTTGCTCATAAAAAACGTTTTATTGTAGGACTGAGTATTAAAGTTGTATTATAGCCCTGACCTACTTTAGTTTTCTGGGAGAAATTAATCTTCATTGGAAAGAAGACGAATCGTTTGAATCTGCTGCAGAGCACGCAAGCTTGTGAAGAAATGTCAGGTTTGTTAAGTGAAACGTTCCATTGTTTTACGTTCTAATAATGTGTTAAAGTGTTGAGAAACTATATTATAAGTGTTAGCACAACTCTAACTGACTGACATTATTGGCTGCTTTAAATCATTGGTTACACAACCAGGATTCAGATAATCTTCCTTGGAGGCCCGGAGAAGGACCGTGTGCAGAGTTAAACCTATGTATAGTCCGCCTTGTCGCTAGACTCGGCTCAGCCAGTACTTAAACACAAACACAAATGCAAACAGTGATAGACTCACAAACTCAGAAGTGGGGATCCTCCCTGGAGTTCAGTGTTGGAGTCTGTGATTAAGGTGGGCGGATCCACAAAACCACAGTTTAAAATGAAAGAATCCCAAAATCATCAAAAAGCCTCTCAGGGTGTATGAATCACGTCTATTTCTTCCAGATGGAGAAATACTGTAACTGTGATATAAGATATAATCAGGCCTTTTAAATTAAAGCTGCAGCCTGCTGTATCCACACTGTTGTGCCAAAGGAGGACATACTTACTATTCTGTTTGAGTACACTGTGGTATGTCAACCACCCACAACTTGCATGTTTGCCTCTGTGCTCTTCACTTGGCCAAGTCTCTTCCAAGAAAGAAAATGACAATGAATAAGCTTGATTTGAATTACTACTGAAACAATAAGTTTAAAGTGAAGCAAATATGTTCTTCCTTTTATAACCTACCCATGGATTTGATACTGGTTATGTAACTCTTATGCTAGTAAAGAGGTAATTGAAGTAATTACATTTTATGCCGCCTACATTTCATCTACGTGTGCAGTTAAATATTTTGTGTGTTTCCATGAATGTGAATTTAGCACTAAGGTGGGCCATTATGCTCTCCAAAATGACCGGAATTGATCACTATTGAAATAACTTTATAACTTAGATTTGATGGCTAGTCTGGCGATCTGTATTGTTGACTCTGAAGACAGGCAAAATGAAGAAATGTGCATGCCAGCTTTAAATAACTACTGCTCGTGGCTTTGTTTGCTGTCAGCTGCACCAGTTCTATCCTACCCTGCACTCCACATCGTTTTTTCTTCATTACAATCTTAATTAAAAACAATATTACTAGATTAAAGTACGTGTCAGCACTCATGATTCAATTAAGAACAAAATACTAATACGTGTTTAATTAGAGGCTGTTATCAACTTAGCATCAGTTGTTTTTCTTTTCCAGGAAAGGCCTGGTCTGTACAGTGAAGGCTAAGCATGCAGAGTAAACAGCAACACCCGTGTGTGCTCATCAGGGCGGCCGCTCTTGTAAATGGTGGTGGTATGGGGCAAAGCCGAGGTGAACAATAGAGGTGAGTGGGGTTACACCCTGGGACCACAGCCAGCTGCAGAGGGAGGTGGGTCAATGTGTCTGCAAATACCTCCTTCCCACTGCACATCTCGCTCCCTGTCCACACCCACCAGGGTGTTTGTCTGGTCTGGAGGTTTCCCACACTCTCCACCTCCTGCTCTCATCTCCTCTTTCTCTGTGTTTTTTCTCCTGTCTGTTTCTCTTCTTATATAAACAGGATGCTAAATATTTATTTAGCATGCATTTTTTTCATATCTTTTTACATCAAGGTGTTATTTTAACTTCATCTTTTCACAACACTTAGGTCTGTGTTGGCGAGAAAGCTTTTGCAACTCTACTAATGCAGAACTGTTGACTCACTGCAGGGTTATTCCACTTCTACACTAATGCTGCACTAACACATCATCCAGCAGCTCATTCAGTCCTTTGAGACAGTAAAGTTACTAGCAGGTGGTTGTGCATCTGAGTTCACGTACCTGTTTGCTGGCCTGTCTACAGATAAGGCTTATAAGACTTTGCATA